TGAATAGATGGGGATTTAGAGAAAAATGGCAGAGACGATTGAAGATGCGGGTTTCGTTGAATACCAAAGTGGTACGTTGTGCTCGAAGGTCGATTTATGAACAGCAATCGAACGTCGTGGGACAGGGATCATTACGGACACCATTATCAGCGAAAATAAGTCGACGTTTGAATTCCATTTTTTTGCGTTTCGAATTGCAAAAAGAATGAGATGTATAATTGGCCATTAAACTAGGTACTCTTCGAGTGACCTTCGCGAGAAAATAATGATACGAGAGTCTTGAAAATACGCAGGAAATTGACAACATTGACTATCAAAAACGGTTTGAAAAATTACGGATTGATAAATAAAGTCGGATTTGGTCAAGAATTCTCGTAGACTCTCGATTTCTGTTTTGTTTCTTTTTCCAATTTTTTATCTAAAAAGAATTTTAAAAGGATTATTACCAAATTAAGATTATACCGTTGATCGATGGCAATTTTAATTAACGAGTTTAATTTATTTGCCTTGTTCGCGAGTTTTTGCAGCGAATTTTGAATATTGCGTTAAAGTACAATAAATACGAGTACTCAAAATATAATCATTAAACGAAAAGTACAGTTCGAAATCCAGAACGAACAATAATTTATACAGCTTGTCTTAAAGACATTTGATGCTCATGGGCAGAGCTATGAATTAACAGATGCTTCATTACGATAAGATAAGAACCTCAGGCAAAACAGGGCGCAGTTCCGGGAGGAAAATAAAAGAAAAGCCGCGAGCGACGGTTGATTATAGATTTTCTGAGGCGTCACGCGCCATGAGATCATCGGCATCGGAAAATGTGAGCGTCAATTCCCGCGTGCGAGGCACTGCCGTTAGAGAAACAACGCTAAGAAGATTCGCCCACACGGCCTCTGCACCGAAGACAGGCGATAACACCTCGTCGTTACATAATGGCGCATATACATTGCGCATAATCGCGCATAAACACGCTTATCGTGTGCGACGTCGTGTGTCATGGGTTAGGCAAACAATTACTGTACGATTACAGAGCAATTTGTTCCTTTTTGTACAAAAACCCTGGCACAAAGATTTTCCAGGTACTCCGATTCCCGATCGCTCGGTTGACCGACAAATCTTCCATCATATTTTCGACTTTCGTCTTACAAAGCAAATCGCAAAGCATAAACCGTAAATTGATGTCATTAACGCTGATATTATCAACGCAAATAATAATTATTATAGAAATTTAAACAGAACTAATCTCAACAGAATTATATTAATAATTCTGGCTCGTTGTCAATGTAGATAAACTTTAATCTCGCTTCAATTTTTACTCTTCTTCTCTTTTTACAGTTCTGAAAAAAGATGAAGAATAAATTGAACCGAGATTAAAGTTAATCTATAATACATTGCACTATATAATGCATTACGAAAAATTTCTGGCTAAAAATGAACGAACCAGATTATTAATATCAATCAGAATTCTGGTTATCTCAACTAGAATTATAACAGATTTCACTAGAAAATTCTGACTTGTTCATTTTCAATCAAAATTCCAATTAATATTGTACAATCAGACTCTTTTTCCAGTGTGGAAACAGGCATTATTAATCTTTAATCGACTTTTCAGTGAGATTCGGACGATTCGTTCCGTTGCCAGGCTACGCAAAGGGTAACAGGGCAACGGTCAAAGAACGCGCGATGAAAGGGCAGCAGCTGGGCATTATTCCGTATATTTTCATATCTGATTGTGCGCACACCGGCGCAACGTGGAACAGAGCGCTGCTTTGCGGAGATAAATCTGCGTGTTACCCTACCTTTCACTTGCGCACGTGTGCATTGCATCTCGCTGCCCTCGGGGTAAAGTCGCATAATAAGACGCGAGATTAAAAGCGGGCGCGGGTGGCGATGCGAAATTTACGACGCGTAAAACAGGGTAGTTTCTGTCGCGTGACGAGTAATTTCTTTCGCGGCAACGCTGACGCGAATTATCCTCGCGACGATTGACACGTCGTAATTAAAGTTTGTGCGAAGTCCAGGACTTAATTTAAATCTATATCTCTTGGAACTTCTAGATCTCTTAGATCTCTTTGAGATATTACTTCATTTAACGATTCTAGCAATTTGCATTTCTACATCCGGAAATTGTAAACACGTCAGAATTTAAACACATAAGTTAAAAAATTGTCAGTTTATTTATATATGTAAAATATATTTTTTTACTTATATTTTATATATGTATATAAATTATATTTTTGTAAATGGTCACACGCGTCTCTATCGTCGGCTTTCATCGATTTCATCTACATCTTTTCTGTTACGAGAAGCGACTCAAGAGGAACGCGTTTCGAAAAGAGCGTGGTGTAATCGTGCCTTAACGCGAACTTCTAACACAATCGCAAGTTGCACGGGGTCACGGGGAAAGAGAGAGCGAAAACGAGACTTATGCAAATTTTTCCCTCGCCGGGCGCGCGCAACCTTTCCGCGTCGCTTCGAGGATACCGTCGTGATGACGATTCCCATCTTATTAGCATCAAAATTATTAAATTGCTTGTCAATTTAATATGTAGATATTAATATGTATTAATATGTAGATATTAATATGTATTAATATGTAGATATTACTATCCTAGTTCTGTTCACGATTGCGTTTCAAAACCAAAAAGATTTCTGTTTGCAAAATTGATTATGTATATAAATTCACTCTGTGTGAAATATTTGAGCACTAAGGCCGGTATTCATAGTCGGATCTTATATTCAAGATCGTTTTAAGTATAGTCTTAAGATGTTATGAATCAATCAGAGAGCTGTATTAGCATTTCAAGACATTTTAAGACGGTCTTAAAATAAGAACTATGAATACCAGCCGAAGATCCGCTTTGACCAAAAATAGGTTTATTTCTCTTAATTGATCCAATTGACGTGTTTGTCACAGAAATTTTATTGCGATGCGCTACGAAAAAAAATGTTTGTCCCGCGGTTCTCTTATTTGTATTCTAAGAACAAGAATTTGATCGTCAAAACACGGCGGACGGGTGTCACGAGCGTGATTACGTCATGACCGTGAAGTATGCATAAATCATAAAAAGGTAAAAAAATTGAATGTACGCAAAGTGTCGTTCGCGTTTATGCATGAATGAATAAAGCAGACAGACACCGATAACTGACTGTATAACACGGCAGATCAAAGATTGATTTCTCAGAATTATTTTAATTACGAGAGTAAATTGAATTTTCTTCGCGCTGCTTAAGCTCGATTAAATTATATGTTTCCAAGTTAATATGCGAGGCATGCTAGATGTACATGGCATTCGACATAGTAACGCTAAGATTCTGTAATCTGCTACAGAGCGTAACTTAACAGGAGGCTGAAATATTCATAGATAAGTAATCAGTGTGCGGAACGTGTTGCTCTAATAACGTCCGAGACTGATCCCTCGGACTTTGCCGGACGACCGGAAGTTCGAATATCCATGAAGGGGATGGTCGGCGGCTTCGCGGAAGATCGTCATTAGCGCTTCACGGCTATTTTGAGTTCTATTAATATCTCTGAAATCAAGCGAAGCGCCGTGGCTTCTCCTTGCCAAGCCCAGGTATGATCTAATCGTAATCGTATATGCGCAGGATGTAGCAAAGGAAACAGAACTGCGCGCATCTTCGATCATAGATCTGAGTGAGAGAAAAAAAGAAAGGCGAGTGAAAAAAATTTCATGGAATCTAACTTAAAATTCACTGGATAACGAAAGTGTGTAATTCATAAACATGCCACATCAATAGGTATGTGCCATCGATTCTAATTGCTACTTTCACCAGAATGATAAATAGCTTCGCATTAATTGTCGGTAATTATTTAGTCAATTTTCCTATCATTTATTTCGCGACTATAGAATGTTTAATTACTTTGATTTGTAAGAATAATTTATATTAGACGATAAATAATCTTGTTGAATGATGAGAATTGTCTGGCCTTTCGCGGAACTACCGCGAATAACGCGGCAATTAATGACAGAAACTAATAATCGTACGGCACTCGAATGAGAAATGTCGTAGAACTCCGATGAACCTTGGGAAAGAAATAGGCGTGAGGATGATATTTGCGGAGTATTGCAATCGTGTGCTCGAGGAAGTCCCTCCTCGAGCAGCCGCATTTTATGTTGCGATCGATTGCGCAAGCGGAATGCAACAACGGAATTGTCGATCTCGACGGTGGATTCCCTATCAATCGAGAAGCGAAGGTGCCAAGTATGTGATTACCGGTGCGACACGTAATATTTGCAACCGAAATTCGAACGCCAACAAGCCGAGCGCGGCGTTGCAAGGCCGTTCGTTTCGAAGCGGGACAGCTTCAGCTTCGGTTTAGATTACAGGCGTGGTACGGCGCTTGAAACAATACACCGATACAATATATCACACGCGGTTCTATCGCTCTGAATGCAATATTATGTAATCTCTCCGGCGGTGAGTAGATAACGCGACCTCGTTGTATCACCGTTCAAGGAAACAAAATTTTATACGACGGAATGGCGAGCGACTTCCCTCTCCAAACGTTATTTCTAAATCATCAATGTTGTTCGTCCTCCCTTCGCCGGAAACGTGGAGGTAAAATTCCGATCGAGCCAAGATATCGACGTGTCATTAAATCGAAGTCGGTTGCGAAGTACATGGAACCGTGGAAGTAGCGTATATTCCCATCACATCGAGGAACACGCGGTCTTCGGTAAATATTCATGATGTATACGTGTAATGCTAAGCTGCGAGGAGGACGAGGTGGGGCGAGCAGACAGATGGAGGAGTCTTCCTGCATGCGAAGGCAGGATCGCCGCGTGATAAACTCTAGAGCTGCACGATGGCAGCACGATACAAGCCTTCGTGCGCACGTTGAATAGCGATATGCGCCGCGTGGCACACTCGCGCCTTACTTTTCGTCGTCGTCGTCGTCGTCGTCGTCGGCGACGGCGGCGAGCTTAAATTAAGTGATATCCCGCAGCGTCAGAGAATTCAATCAGTCTACTCACCATCGGACGACATTGCCAAGGGTAAAAGATCACCGGCGGCCTTCAATTGATCGAACTTCTCTATTAACAGGAGCATTCTGTAAGCAGAATGGACGACGGATTTATATAATGGATTGCGATTAAAGATTTTATGGTTTCGTTAACGCATCGCACTGATTAGTTAATTTTTAATGAGGAAAAGAAAAGTCATTTCTTGAATGACTGAATCACGATTAGGAGATATCCTGTGAATTTCTATGCAGCCCGAAAGCCGAAAGACAATCGCTTTCTCCGTCCATTTCACTTACTTGGCTTGCGGCACATTGTGTTTTCTTTGCAAATCGACGCGTAATCTCTCGCCTACGTGTCGATAGATGTCCGCCAGCGTGTTCAGAGCAGTTTCCCGAACCTTTTCCGACGGATCCGACAGCAGCTTTACGATGCTCGGAATTACTCCCGATAGTGCCATCTCATCTGCTCCATGTCTGGAAAAATTCAAATTCCATTAAAAAAAAAAAACAATTTCTTTTCGTAAATATAATTTATTTCGAATAAACACCACTCACTCGTTCAACGTAGTCGTCAACAGAATCAGGGCCTCCTCTCGTAATTTTGCATTCTTATGATTGAAGGCTGGACGAAGTCTATCCAGAAGATTCTGAGGCGACATGCATCCCTTTTCCATAATTTTCAGGAGCACCAGTTGCGCCTTCTCCCTGGTAGCATCTTTACTGTCACCTGTAACAAATGCGAATTTAATTATCGATTCGTATACATGTGAAAATTTGGAGCGAATATCTTCGGATCGCGCGTGTGCGTGCGATTATTCTTGACGTCGGCTTCGCGGGACAACTGAAAGCGATCGGCGGACCGGTTCTCGACAAATATGGTGTATACATCTGTCATAGACTTCAACCTCATTAGAGGCGTTTAAACGTCACTCTGGCTCGTTCTATTTGAAACTCATTTAACGATTAACGATGATTCACCCAATACGCGGCGAAATGTTCGCGAAACTCATCACACTTTCGAGATACAGGTCTATAGGGATGGTATAACTTTCTAATTAATGCTTGATGTTAAAATTATCCTCGACTATCTTTTACATCGCGAATATGGGATATTTACAAACCGAAATATACACGAGCTTCTATCGATGCCAATTATCGACCATCGTGAACCGTTTGTGGAGTTATCGATCGTCGTAAATAATAATAGAAATTTTCGATATCGCGTATCGTGCCAGTCGATTCCTCCCCGAAGACGATTTACGAGACAAACGGGTGGAACAAATACACCCCGCACTCACCTAGCCTGTCTATCGTCGGTTGGATGATGGTGGAGATGTAAGGTTTGAAGTCGTGACCCATCCGATCCGCGAGATACGTGAGGATCTCTAAACCATTCTGGACAACCTGCAAAAGAAGAACACGTGCGTCGTTTGAATTTATGGCGCATATCGGCCGATTATAGCCGCGGTGGCAATGATTGTCCTCCTTCGGTGGGATCGCGTCGTCGCTTTCGCGCGAAACGACCGGCGCATCAAGGCGATCGAGGTCTACCGGTTAATTTAGCGAGCACAGAAAGCGTTTATATGGAACTCCATTATGGTATATTAATTGACACTTCCAACTATGGCGAAAAAGCAGGTTAATAATAGAAGCGCATTGACGCAATTTGCTCTCGCATTCATCGCGTCTGAAAAATGGGATTATGTCATTCAAAAAGTATCTTATTTTTATTACAATAATTTTTGTTTTGTTAAATACAAGTATATAAAATAAATATTTAAGATAAGTATATAAGATACATGAGTTAAATAGGGTAGAGCGGAGCTTTTTCGTTCATTTCTCACGATAATGTTTATGTTTCTGAACAGCACACGTTGATTATTCAAAGGTTGTGCTTGTGCTTTCAAGGATTATGATTATATAATGTAATTATAAGCATGTCACTGCAAAGAAATATTTGCTATCGTAAATTTTCGTATTACTCTTATAAGTTTTATTTTTATATTGTTATACTTAATATTCTTTATTTATAATGTTCAGCATTTTCCTTGGATGATAATCCAACGAATAAAGACTCAACGTCAAACGGAAAAAGAAAGATATCAGAGAGATCAACTATTTTTTTGAATAAAATATCCAGTAATTCATTTAACAAAAATAAATCACTTTTTTTATCATAACACTACGATATAAATGGAGAGAGTATGAAAATAGAGAGGAGTAAGCCTCGTTAGAGATCGTATTATAATATCTCTCGTGCAATGTTGACAGCTCGCGTGATGCAAACATATCGATCCAGAGGGAGACGAACTCTATCCTCTTGAAGACGGAGAATCGCTGCTGTGTTTCCTCTCATTCGTTAATATGCGAGTCTCGCCAGACGCAAGTGCACTCGTGATTACAACCTCAGTAATACGCGTAGACAGAATGCCGTTTCTGTTAATCAAGAGAATGCACAATTAACCCACCAGCGAATTTCTAATCGAACGTTTGTAATTTAGTACCTGCTAAACGCGCGCGAAAGGCGACTGCATAGTAATTACGGTGGAAGTCATAACACAAATCACTGAGTAACGCCAACGATAATACTATATCTTTAACGTGTCGATTTTAATATCCCATAATATATAACATTTACATCTCGCACCTAAAGAGGATATCTAGGTGAACGTTGCTAAATTTAATTTTTCATTGAGCAGCTTGTACACTATCGTCACAAACTGCGAAGTGTTTAAACGCCTGCAGTACGACGTTTAAATACATTTAACGAAGTGCTATACATAGGCGTATAAACCTATTTTCGAGCCACGGGGTAAACGTTCTCTCAGGGCTATCGTCTGGCTGTGACATCATTGCTCAGTACCGAGGATTTTTGCTCTCCTCTTTGGTTTTTCTCTTCTGAGCTATTATCTTCAATCTCTCGATAAAACTACATGCATCTCTGATCCATTCACGATTGTATCTATAAAGTGACTTACACATTATATTTCTACGCTACATTGCATCCGTAAAATGTAAACATCTCGATAAGATCTATATTTGTACCTATATATCTTTATTATCTTTCAATATCAATTGCAACGATATTATCTATTAAATAAAATAACGATATACAATTAAAAACAACATATAAATAATAACACACTACAAAAAATTTACTAAATCTTAATACATATTTCTTTGAATAATAATAAGTGAATATTCACGGTAAATAAATATTTATTCAATAAAAAAATGATAGTTAAATCAAATTAATGATTTTTGTATTAAATATTTTTTTCAATGCACAATTATAAAACGTAAACAAAAATTTGCACCTCAAAATATTGCACTTAAAAAATCATTGTACATATAAATTAATCAATTAAAGTCAGAAAGTGGCGAATCTATGAAGCACGATACTCTATTAATGTAAAAAAAAAATAATAGCTCCAGTAGCACTTTTCATAGTTCTACACTGAGAAAAAAATATCTTAATTTCAAAGAAATATTTCTTTGCTCGTATTCAAACAAATTATTACTTTGGATCAATGAAAATTTCTTTAAACGTAAGATATATTTTTTACTTTAAAAAACATATTTTAATTTCAAAGAAATTTTCATTGATCCAAAGTAATAATTTGTTTGAATACGAGCAAAGAAATATTTCTTTGAAATTAAGATATTTTTTTCTCAGTGTACAGTTCTTTATTAAAGTAAAAAAAATTCCCCATTTTCTATATTAAAAAATCAAAATTGTTTAGAATTTTATCCTAAAACAAAAATAAAATAATACTCCAACAATTAATAATTTTTATACAGTTATGAACATTCGTACCCTGTATGTCGCTAAATAAAAATTTTCGACAAGTTATTACTGACAGATCTTTGTACAAAGCGCATGTACGATGAAAACCACCGGTGGTTCTTTGTAGCGAAAGGACTAAACAGAAACAACGCGCGAGAAGAGTCATCATGCGAAGTCGTACACGACGTGTGGGCGAGAGATCCACCGGCCTTACTCGTCGAACTTGGGTGCACGATCCGTTAAAACTGTTGTTAGAGCTACGTGGGAGGCTGCACACGTTTCTTCCTTCTGCATCGCGTACAGATCGCGTTCGCGAGGCGCCACGTGATCAGACGGAAAAGAGCCCTTCGAGGGAAATAGGCGCCGCCGTCGAAAATACGGAACGCGTATTTTCGGGCACGCGAGATATATCTGGTATCAAATACGTCGCTGAACTTCTTGGCAGTTTAACAGAAAAGCCACAGGAAACGAGACGAGAGATCTGCCCGACGGTTACGAAAGCAAATACGAATGCGGGAAAGCTGAGTCAATTTTCGTCGGATTTTCAAATAATATTCTACGGCATAACAACACGGAACGCGTTTAATTATTTTGGGATAAAGTCTACGGTTTAGATTAGACGAGTGGACGATTCATTGCCTTAGAATCGTAATACGCTTTTCAGCAAAGCTCTTTGTAGATTCATTCCTGCGATGCGAAAGATGAGAAAGGGAAAAATGCAAAATTTCACCGTGTCGAGAGTCGGTCGTCGTGCGATTTGCAACGGACTATATTTGGCAGCCTATATTCCTCGGTTATCTCTCTGTGCGTCGTAAGACAAATGTTCCTCAATGCGCGAGATAAGCAATTCGATAGTGTCGTAGCATTTCTCGTTCTCGTTTTATCGCAATAATTCCGAGGCAAAGCGGCCGACATTATACAACGTTAGTTCGGTAATTCCGACGTTATGGAAGAAGAAATCCTCGAGTATACACAAAATTCACGGAATCCTAAGGTAATAATCCGCTCTCCGAGTTCACGAGGCGGACACACTATACACGGCATTCGTATAAAAATGCCGTGTGATTGAGATAAGCTGGGAAACGGTCTCATAATCGCGCAGCTCAGCTCTTGAAAAATAAGTCGGTTGAGAGTCGCTTGAAACAGATTCGGCGATGACATGTATTTTTCTACTTTACGATTGCGAACAAAAAATAAAATGCAAAATATTAATATTTTCTTCTGTTCTCTTCGTTTTTAATTCTGCATCTGGGCGATCTAAATTCTTTTGAACATAAGCAAAATTTCACTTTCCAATTTCTCCAAAATAAAGGAAAGCGAAATTTGGTTCTGCCTCCTAAAATCTTATTAAAAATCGCATATTTTCTCCCTTTTTTATCAATCGCAAGTTGGCAGCAGTCGAAGGCAAAAATTATTTGTAATATAATAAAGATGTTGAAAATAATTTGTATTTTTCACATTTTTTTGAAAACCTACACTGAAAAAAATACTAAATTTTAATAAATATCTATTTGAATAGTTCTAAGTGAATATTTATTAAATGTAAACATATATTTATTTGATACAAAAACCATTAATTTAATTTCTATCATTTTTATTGAGTAAATATTTATTTACTATAAATAAATGTTTTCTTAGCACCATTCAAAGAAATATCGAATATGTATTAAGATTTAGTAAATTTTCTTTTCAGTGTGAACAGCAAAAAACTTGAGCTAGACGGAGAGATTAAAAATTTGCTCGCAGCCAGAGGGTTAAGTCATCGCGAATGTTGCAAAAATAGGTATATTTTGCGCAAGTAATGAGTAACATTATGTAAGAGACGTAAAACGTTTGCGTGCGCGCACCGTACGTATGTAAAAAACACATCGAGGTGAGGGTGATGTCATACATTAAATCCTGAAAAGGAAACATCTCCGTGGCGGAGCAAAAAAAAAAGCGAGTAGAATATGACGGCTGTAGAGGCAGTTCGGTTCGGTTCACGTTTTGTCCTGTGTCCTTGACATCAATATACGGTGCACTCGTGCCTTGCAGAAATGGTGCAGCTATCGTTCCGTAAGGAGAGACATTGTTAAGTCTAATTACACGCGACGATTCACAGCCAGGCGACCATGGTTCGACAACAAAGAGTACTTTGCGCTTTAAGCCTCTACTTATCTACATTTTATGTCTTTACGTAAAGTGTGACGATGTAAAAACAATGCATTTCATTCGTGCCGCTTGCTTGACTGCAAAACTAAACCAAACACGAATAGGATCCTTTTTAAAATGGGTATTTACATGAGAGAAAAAAATATTACATCCAGCATTTTACAAGTCAAAAATATTTTATAAATCTCGCTTTTGCACTTAAATTCATAATGTCAATTATTATTATTATACTCAATTGAAGTTATTTTTAATAATTAGTACACTGAAAATAAAGTTATATCAATAGCATTATTTTAATTGAAAATAATTTCGTTAATTTCGTTAATTTCGTTAATTTAATGACATTATTAATGAAACAAATATACCATGCTCTTGTGTTAATAAGATTTTATTTGTTTCATTAATACTGTTATTGAATCAACAAGATTATTTTCATTTTTTTTTTTAAGTGAGATTTAACTCGAAA